TTTCCTGATGCAGCCAGGGCCTGCAGTTCTTGATTGCTGAATGACTTTCACAGTTTCTGGTTTTGTCCAGGTGGATTCTCTAGTACGCGCGTTGTAGTAGTAAGTCTGAAATAAGATTCAGCATTAGTTTTGGATTAGTTATACATTTATAGAATAAGACGTGTGTGAATCTTCTCTTCCTAAGATGGGAATCATTGCAAAAATATAACATACCGTATATGTTCTCAAATAGGCGTCACTCTAATTTAAGCGTCAGACAGACGTGAATGTTATTAAATTGTTCCAAGGTTGACGTCACCAAAACTTGAAATGAACACCATCAAAACGTTCAGACCTGGCTCCGACTTACTGTAGGACGGGAAATTATTGCGCAATGAAATTTATGTGTGATAGCAAATTGCGTCTAATTTGCGCATTTGTATTATTCGCGTTCTCCTTGCAGACAAATACAACCTTTTATTTATACATGTTTGTCAATAAACTTAAAACAGATTCTTAACAAATAAGAACAAAGAGCATTTATTATTCAATGTTCTGTTACTAATTCACACCTTAAAAACGAGTGTTACACTTCTACTAGCCAACACGCATCAGAGGACTATTGTTATTGTTATTGAAATTCACGCTCATCGCAGCAGCCATTTTGCCAAGTAAAAAAATACGGAAAACAATGCATCGGTATTCAGACACTCTTATCACTCCGTACGTGACATCAACACGCCAGGAGCTGGGGTTTTCCTGAAGATCAAAAAGCCCTTGTAATATTTGATGTATTTGATGTATGAACAAAAAACTACACGACAACAACATCGCTATTGTGTTTGTTCCGGCCTGTTGTCGATCGGCTGCAACCCCTTGATCTCGCCGTCAACAAACCTTTCAAAGGACTCGTGGAACACTGACCGTATTTGGAAGGAACTGCAGACGGGAGCTGATATAACCGATGTCAAAGTAAATTTTCGTCATTCGGAATTAAAACCGTGCAGTTGAAGCCTGTTGAAAATCGCCGGGAGTTGCGTACACAGACAGGGCCCTGCTGGCATTCAGATCGACCAGCTCATTACAGCTCCCTGGATCGACTGAAGCCACTTAGCGAACATGTGGAATAAGTTGACAGTCATATAAATATTGCTGTTGTTCGAAAATGTTTCATTTTTAAAACCAGAATTCAGATGAATACATAACATTTTCATTCACTAGTCCTGCGTTACTGGTATAACATTAAGAAATATAACGTCATGTCTGAACTTGTTTTTATAAACTTCC